TGAAGTTGTTACCTAGCCGGGTAATGAAACGTTTGCAAGAAAAGAACCAAGCTCAGAGAACCCCAAGGACTCCACAGACAACAGTCTGATAAACAAAATTTGAGTTTGAAGGAGGAGGGGTGACAAAAGCATCTCAGAAGGGACCCTCTTTAGATTTTGAGAGAGTAAAAGTGAGTGACAGGAGAGCTACTTTCAGATTTGCAAGATTCTGTTAATGTAACCTTACAATAAAGATAGAGCTAGTACTCCTGGTTGTGCTTCTTGTCTGGACTACTTCACAAGGTTAACAGTCTAGGAGGATAAGGATTATGTCCCTCCATCCAAGTCCCGCCATATCATCCATTAGAGCAACCAGTGCAGTTTCCATTCTATGCCCATGACTGAAATCTGGTTGCTAGGGGGTCTGGATAATCTTTATCTTCCAGTATCTGTTGTAATTGCAGGCACGTCACTTTTGCAATACGTTTCCTACAAAAAAGGATGTTTTACATATAAGATGGTAGTTATCCATTACCATTGGATCCATGAATAGTTTCATGAGGAGCAGGCGGACCAGCACCTCTCTCAGGGGTGCTGAAACTTCTCCCTTTCCCTCAGAGAAGCACTGACTACTGTCTGAATTTAACTACCAGTCCTGTCCTTAGCTGTTTTAACCAGCCAGGTGGGGTAGGGCTCCAATCACAAGTGGAGAAGCTGAGATCACAGAGAATTTTGTCCACTTCTTTGAGATCCACCAACTCAGAGCATCCCAGGTAACATCAAAAGACTTCACTTCAGTCAACTGAATAGATTTTGTCCATTCAGCTTGCAACTCCAACTCTGACTGGTTGTGAGCAATTTTATCCATGTTTGCAGGCATTGCTGGTCCTTACACTTATATTAATTTGTTCTCCCACCTTACCTTTCCATAAATGTCTAGGACATTTTAGTAGTGCAGCTGGCTGACATTCCACAGATGCAATAGCGCATAAATTTCAGCTTTTATCCATGTCCAGTCATACCTGCTTGTTTTCCATTAGCATCATCCAGGCAAATCTTCATTTCCTGGAACTCCTTGGAAGACAAGGAACTGCTCAAGATCAATGGGAGGGGAGAGGATGCTTGAGGGCAATCCTGTCCAGCATCCAGTTGATTTTGTGTTCCAGAGCCTAACAAAGCACTCAACAATGCTGCCCTCCAGGTTGTCCCCAAGCGCTGTCTAAAAACCCTCTACAGTAGACCCAACAGGCATCTGGAGAGGCCATCAGTTGACCACTGCTCCCTCTGGAGATGGATACCTTCAGATAATGGGGTCACTTCCCATTACCATGAGGAAGTTATCTGTTCCTGACAAGAAACTGATGGAAGTATCTCCCAACACCAGATCATGTCCCATCTACTCCAAGGTAAAAGTGAGATCTAATGTACATATTGGGCTTGTCCATTGGCTGGTCAAGCCTAATGTTGTCATAGTGGCCATGGATGACCCCACAGAGTAGAGCGTAAAATCACCTAGTACTAATATCCTGAGCAAATCAATATCCACCTCTGGAATGAGAATAAGCAGCTTGGGAGGGATCCTCTCATGCAACTAGGAGGACAGTACAATAGTAGCCCTTCCCAGGACTAAATAATATTTTTGGTAATGGTCCTCCACCCTCCTGTAATTGTCCTACTCCCTCCTGTATGTTTCAGGGTCTGTTATCCATTCCATCACAGATTTATTAGAGACAAATTTGACATTTAAAAATAACCTAAGCCCAAGGTCTCCAGCACTCTGGATACCTGTCTCTGGAGTTGAGAAGGCACACTGTGCCACTATACATAACGAAGGGCCTCTGACAATGATCTTACGTGGCCTATGTGTTTTGGACTTTTTGCAGGAAACAGAAAAAAATGAAATTATATGTGGATTTGATGATTAGTAAAATTAATAGATTAGAGAAAAAATGGATGTTAAGTTGTAATCCTAGAGTAAGAGTTTAATGTTATGTTTTACTTTTATCTGCTATAAAAGCAGTCGGAAGTCATTCTTTTTTTGTATTTGTTTCTTTCTTTTATCTTTCTGTACTTCTGTTCTCCTTCTTTCTCTTTATTCTTTCTTTTCTTTTACTCTTTTTCTTTATTATTAGTTCTGGTTAGTTTTTATCTTTCTGTTCTTAAAATTTAATAAAGTTATTATAAAAAAAAAGGAAGTGGCCTATATGAAGACAAGCATTCCCAAGCTATGAGGGAAATAGATTTTCAATGATTCACTTTTTTAAAGGGTTGTGATCTCACTGGTCTTTATTATACCTCAAAACTATTCTACTGGAACAAAAGGCAAGTGAAATAGGTTTCTTTGAAGAGATGCTTGAAAAAAAAAGTAATGCTGAGATTACTTTGAGGTTATCAAACTATAAGTCAGGGAGATGCCAGCAATTTAGAGCAAGGATTACATTTTTTTAACAACCTTAGTAGCATTGCCCAAGAAGAATGGGAATGTTGTCAGAACTTGCCCTTTTGCTTCTCACTTTGCTTGCATAAGCCCAAGGGCCAGCTCTGATATCACAAAGTTTGAGATATATAGATTTAAATTAAAACGATTAAAATTTGATATATTTCTTTTTTGCCAACCCAAACCTCAATGGGTGTGTGTGTGTGTCACACAAATTCAATCATCATTTTAGAGAGTTGTAGTACTGCAACATTTGAGAAGCCCTGGACTACTGCATTATAGTTATCATGGAATTTCCTTTTGTCTAGCACTCTTGATGACACAATATTATGGATTAGATTCTGTGGAAACACTGATTGATGGGAGTTCTCAAGATGCTCCAGCTAACTGAAAGGGGAAAAATATGGTTTTAGTTGTCTCACCATGTATGATGCAGAGCTGTCCCTAATACTATTCAGTAAGATCCCCATCTTTCTGGAGCTGATTTGCTGGTATGTAAAAGACTGCCAACTATTTATGTGACTGTAACAGCACGAGGCACTAACTTCTTACATGTGACAACTGCAGTTCCTTGTAAGCCAGCAGCATGGAACCACTGTGGGAAACCACTTCTAGCCATTAACAGTGCCTTATAGAACCCTGATTAGCTACTATGCTTTGCAGCACAGCAGGAGACATAACAAATCAAATTCTTAGGACAAACATTATTGACATAGATACATATATAAAAATATATTCCAGATCATCATCATCATCATCATCTAGCAAAAATGTAGAATACTTACACAGACTACTTAAAGGCCTTTCAGCAGATATGAAGTGAAATGCAGGAATGATAACATGACCCTTCCCAGTAGAGCTCGCTATCTCTTCCTCAGAATCCAGAACTTGTAGTTTAATTATAGCATCTGATTTAGAAGTCTGTACCTGCACAGTAGCAATAAGTGGAATTGTAACTTTTACTGAATATCTAAAGGGAAAAAATCAAGATAGATAATAAATAGTGTCATATGTAATTCTCTTCAGCAAGTCAACGTTCTAAAAACATTATTATTCAAGAAAACACTTAGTTCTTAAGCCCTCTGAAAATAAGGCTTATATGGAACTTATTAAATGCATTTAGAAAAACTTACTTGCTGTATACAAACGAACAGGACAAAGTTACAGTGTCACAATGAAAGTGGAGTTAATATTTAATATTTAAAAGTGCCACAAAAGAAAGTGAAAGGCTATTTCTTACGCATTAGTAATAACACTTCAGTGAGAATGAACAACAAAATACAGTGGTACCTCTAGTTACAAACGCCCCTCCTTACGAATTTTTCAAGATACGACCAGCTCCGGCCCCAAAAATTTACCGCGACTTGCGAACTCCGCCTCGAGTTACGAACCAGATCCGCGGCCATTTTCCCTGCTGCCACGCGGTCGCGGCTTCCTGTAGGCGAGATCGTGGGAGCAAGGAGATGTTCGGTGAGGCTTGGGGTGGGCTTTGGGGCGTTTGGAGGGTTTTTGTGGTGTTT